ATTTTTGGTTCATGGTTTCAGAGCTTCAGTCCAAGGTCAGCTGACTCCAGAGCTCTTGGTCCCAGGCGAGGCAGAACATTATGGTGGAAGGCCATGGCAGAGGAAAGCTGCTCAGCTGATGACAGGAAACAGACTGCCCTGCTCACCAGGGACAAAATAAACTCAAAAATGACCTACTTCCTCCAACCACCCTATACCTGCTTAGTTACTGCCAGTACATCCATATCAGTGGATTAATTTACTGATTAGATTATAGCTCTCATAATCTAATCATTTCACCTCTGAACATTCTTGCATTGTCTCACATATGAGTTTTTGGGCAACACCTCATATCTAACTCATATTAGATGCCAATTGAAATCATGATCGTTATGTGCAGGTTATATTTTTTGTCTTAGTCAGTTGTTGCCAGTGTGACCAAAAGACCTCACAAGAACAATTTTAGAGGAGGAAAAGTTTATTTGAGGCTCACATTTCAGAGGCCTCAATACACAGATAGCCAACTCCATTGTTCTGGGTCCAAGGTGAGGCAGAACATCATGGTGAAGGATGTGGAAGAAGAAAGCAACTCAGGGCATTGCACCAAAAGAAGCAGAGAGAGAGCTCCCTTGACCAAAACCAAAATACATACCCAAAGGCATGCCCACAGGAACCTACTCTCTCCAGATGTACCCTACCTGCCTACTATTACCATCCAGTTAATCCTTTTCAGGCTTAATGTACTGATTAAGACTTTTATAACTGAATCATTTCACCTCTTAACTTCCTTGCATTGTCTCACACAAGCTTTGGGGGGAATATCTAATATCTAAACCATAACATTTTTCTACCAATACAATGAAGACATATTTAACTATTTATTTATTTACTTATTTTGGTACTAGAGATTTAAACCCTACCCCAGTCCTTTTACTATTAATTTTAAATGTGAGTCACTTCTTACCTAAATTCATTTTTTTATACCATGAATGGTATACATATTGCTCTTTGAGGAAACACTAGGTTGTTGTATTTAATCTATGATTTTATATAAATTAATTTTCATCAAAGCAACAATCAACTCAGGAAACAATTATACAAAGCTTTATGTAGCACAAAATGAGACGCAAAGTGTTAGACTTTTCACTGAGCAAATAGCTTTCTTTTCTTCTGTCAACCAAGTGACTGAGGAGCTAGAAATGTGGGAATCCTCCAGAGCCAAGATGTTTCCCTTTCTACTCTGCATCTAACCTGATCATAAACATGTAACTTTACAGGGAAAGGAGACTTCCACATAGGAAGAAAGAAAAAGAGACATGCAACAAAAATGCTAAATTGTTGTTTTAGGGGGTTATGGGTCATTGAGTTCTTTCTTTAAATCTTTCATTATGTTCATGTCTCTATTCACCAATTTTTATGTAATGTGCTTCTATTTTTAAAAATAAACAATATAGTAAAATCTTTGTTCTTTTGAATACTGTTAGATGAAGATACCCAAACATATTTTCTATTCCTTATAAAATAAATATCTAATTTTATATTGACTTAAAATTTTTAAATTTCTCATTTTTTATTGATTATATCTTTTGTTGCTAATTATGTTAATACACACTCCAAGTTTAAAAGTGCTAGAAGTAGGTATATTGTCATTACGTGAAAAAAATAATCCAAAGAAACTAAGGAATTAGCTTGGCATGATGGTATATACTTGTAGTCCCAGCTAGTTAGGAGGCTGGGGCTGGAGGTTCATTTGAGCTAAAGGTTAAGAACTGCCTGTGCAGTATAGCAAGACCCCATCTCAAAAATAAAAACAAAAATAGGGCTGGGGTTGTGGCTCAGTGGCAGAGTGCTTGCCTAGCAAGTGTGAGGCACTGGGTTCAATTCTCAGCACTGCATATAAATAAATAAAATAAAGATCCATGAACAACTAAAAAATATATATATTTAAAAAAACATAACCCTCAATAGCCCAAGCAGAATAGAAAAAACAATGGATTTTTTTGGTAATTACAGCTTGACTACTTTTAGAACTTTATAGGTTAAGAAATATGTGACATTTGCTTTAATTACTATAGCAGGAATGAGGGGTGGTAGGTAACTGGAAGGAACTGATGAAAACAGAACAATAACAGAATGTTGTTAATTGCAGAATGTGGGTGATATGTAAACTAGTATTCATTATTTAATTATATACTGTGTATTTGAAAAATTATTTAATAAAAACAACTTTTTAAAACTTTCAAATTTACATTATTAGAAACCTAAAACAACCTCTGTAACATGCCCAAAATAGTAAAACATAAAGAAAAAAGTTCACTCCAAAACAAAGCTCCCAAGTGGTCTATAAAAATTACTTTTGCTATTTGTAGAGTGAAGTGAAAAATCAAGAAGTACCCAAATATTAAAAGTTGTATGAAAGGCAATTATCGCCATCTACTGGACACTACTTGCTATAAAAGTTTTGGAAAAAAAAATCACTGAAATAAATATACCCATTCTACTCAAAGTATCTAGTTTTTAACAAGGTATTAAATAATACCATCAAATTCATGTTCTGCTATGTGCATATATTAGTAATGCTACTTAATAATATCTTATTACATCACTTCAAACAGTGTAGAATGCCACCTGCTAAAAGATGTATCATAAAATTTTGGTTAGAAAGCACATTGGTGCCACTATATGACATCTTTGTCTTACTTCAGGTCACAGAACTTGAGTTGTTTGTTCACAAGGTTAGAATTCAAGAATTTAAACTATTTTTACATAATTAATATACCAGAAAGTTAGAAACTAATTCTAGTTCTTAAGCTCTTTTTTTTTCAGCTCAGTTTTTAAAAACCTTTATTTATTATTATTTTATAATTTGGCTGTTAGCATATAATAGTAATTCTTAATCCTGTTAGTTCAGAAGCACTTGCAGAACTTTTAAATAAACTGATGTTGGCCCCAAAGTAAGAGATGTTTTTATTTAATCCATGGTTAAAAGAAATATCAGTTTATACCAGCCTCAAAGTATGGTCCCTGAACCATCATCAGCAGAAACAGCCAGTTAGAAAATAAAAATTTCAAGGTCCTCCCCATATTGCTGAAGCCTAGTAATTTATGTTTTATAAACCCTTCAGGTGATTTGGATGCAAACTAAAAAGTATTTCCTATAAAAAAAACTTTTGTCTTTTTTTTTTTAATATAGGATTTAACTCACTGTGCACTAAGAAGAAAATATTTAAAATGGATTTAATTTATTGTCCTCTAAGAGTAATACTGTGCTTGCTTGCACGCCTGTAATCCCATCTCTGGAGGCTGAGACAGGATCGGGGATTCAAAGCCAGCCTCAACAACTGCGAGGCACTAAACAACTCAGTGAGACCCTGTCTCTAAGTAAAATACAAAAAATGGGGCTGAGGATGTAGCTCAGTGATTGAGTGCCCCTGAGTTCAATTCTTGGTCTCCCCCCCCCAAAAAAAAAAAACCCAAGAGTAATATAGTAGAATTCTACTATTTTTCCAGAAGCATGCCACTATAAACTTTCAACAAGTTTCTAGTTAAGACAATTTCAACAAATGCTCTAATAGAAGAGTAGGGAATGTTCCTGTCTAAAGAAAGCTTATTTTTATGGTTTATTTTGATTCACAAGGCACCTTTCTAAAGACATGAGACCTTTATCCACATCAGATCTTTTCACCCTGGAATGCCACTTCTAGAAATGAAGAGGAAAATAAATTATATTCTAATGCATGGCAAATAATGGATGGGGGACTCTGAAATCAGCTAAATGCTTATCAACTGGGGGAATGATTCCATGAATCAGAATATCAACAGGATGAAATGTTGCTCAATCACCAAAATGATACTTTTCATATGAGATTTTAAATAATATAGAGAAATGACTGTAATAGCCCATGAGACTGAAAGCATACACTGCCTGCACCCCCTCCATGCACGCGCGCTCTCTCTCAATTAGAAACAAGGAAGTACTGAAATATTAATGCTGGTTATCCCTGGGTAGTAGTATTATGAATAATTTTTTTTACATTTACCAGTGTTTTAAATTTTTCAATAATGAATATTCTCCACTAATCAGAAGAAAAGCTATAAAAAAAAATAGCAGAATTCTTGGGTTGGGGGTATAAACTCAGTGGTACAGTCCTTGACTATATGTATCATGCACAAAGCCCTAAATAAATAAAATAACACAGCTCCTACTTTATGATTTAGGATCTTTAAGTAATGATTAATCAAAGCTTTCAGAAGATGGTAACCAGAGCTGGGGATGTAGTTCAGTGGTAGAGTGCTTGCCTAGCATGCACAAGGCCCTGGGTTCGATGCCTAGTACTGACAAAAAATAGAGGGGGGACGGGGGCTAAAAGAAGAAAAAATGCCTTAGAATGAACACTTTCCACATTTTTTTCTTTAAAAAACAGTTAAGTTTGTTAAAGAATATCATGTGAAGTAAGCCAATCCCCCAAAACCAAATGTTTTCTCTGATAAGTGGATGCTAATCCATAATGGTGGGGCAGGGATAGGATGAGTGAAGAAACTCTGAATGGGGCAAAGGTGGGGATGGGTCATGCAGGTAGGAAAGATAGTGAAATGAGACAGACATCATTACCCTAGGTACATGTATGATTGCACAATGGTGTGATGCTACTTTAGGTACAACCAGAGAACTCAATTTGTGTATAATGAATCGAAGAACATTCTGCTGTCATGTATAACTGATTAGAACAAATAAATGAATTAAAATTATGAAAAATGGTTATGTTTGTAATGTAGGTCATGACTTGGCCATTCTCTGCCTTGTGAGAACCAAGGATGTTACCATTCCCTCAGGTGTTTATGGCTCCAAAGGAAAGTTGTTGTAAGCTAGAAACTGCTGTTATATCTACCAATATGTAAATGTGATAAGAGTTTAAAAAGTAGGTTCAGAGAAAATATTTCCTTAATTTTGAAACTGTATAAATTTTCAGTGTTAAAATTTACTTCTAAGTGCAATGTTCAAGAAATCATAAGACATCAAATGTAGAAATTATGCAGTTTTATAATTTTCTTTGTTGTTTCTTAATCCATTGAAAAGAATTTCACAATTCAACACTTTTAGGCAGCTTCTTGGTTACTTTCCTTAGTTTCTACTTCTTTGGGCAGCAATGGATCAATCTTTAGTAGCAAACCTTCACTTGTTGAGCTACGAAGGAAGGCACGTACCACAAAGGGACCTAAAAACAAAGACAAGAATCAATTTTGATTTTTATTCCATAGATTCCTAAGGTGCGAATACAAATAAACAACAGGAAACCTTATAGGACTCACATCATATTTTCACTTGAAAAGTACTAAGTTGGTGAGTAATATTTTAAATTCTAAGAAAGGATAGATTCATTTCTAGAGTAGAAGACAAAACTAGCTGTGCTAGAGATTTATCCTTAAAACCACACACTCACTAATAATTTATTTCTTTCTTCCAGAAGATGATCACCTAGAATTTATTTTATTGCAAATTCAACAGTGAAGGGAGCAGGTGGTGATATTTACATTTGATGAAAATACTCTAAATATTTAAAACAGTCTGCACAGATGCTACCTTTCTGTTACCAAACAGTTGGTAAAATTCTCTAAAAATTAAAAAGCTTTTCACAAGAACAATGTTAAGAGATTTCATTTTAAATGACACAAAATAAAAAATAAAATAACAGCACTACTTCGATTTACTGTCTACCATTCCACTTCTGCTATAGTCTCAGAGGATGCTATACTGAAATCAAAGTTTCTGTGGAAGATAAAAATCCATAAACATACAATGACTAGGTACTATGGCCATAGAACAAATGAAGTGTTTAACTCCCAGAGAACATTAAAAAGAAAACAAAACAGCTTATGATTGTGCTTTAATTATTAATGTAGTTATAACACTAACCTGACAAATTTCTGTCATGGTTAGCCTATTAGTGAATAGTCAATTAACTAGCCAATTAACTATAATGGATCCTGGCTTAGCTTCAGCTATCCATGAATGAAGTTTGTCTGAGGAAGGAATCTGAAAGAAGCAATGCAATGATAAAGGTGCCAGGCTAGCTGTGTTCTAGTTTCCACATCTTGACCAAGTCAGTGATTCTCTATGAATCACCTATTTATAAGAAGTGACTTTCATAACATGACAAAAATGATCTTTCTTTTCTAAAATAAATAAATAAGAAAGCCATGTACTAATGTCAGAGACAAAGTCAATGATCTAGCTTCAAAATAACATTTCTTAAATGACTTTTGTTCCTATTTAATACCATTATAAGTTTAAGGCAATCTGTTTTCTTTCAAACTTTATTACATTTAATGATAGAAATAACATGGAAATGTGTAAATGTATTTGTATAAGTGATAAAGAAGTCCCTCTCTAAAAACTATGACTCATTAATAAGGTAGTTAGGAATACTTTGAAGAAGTAAATTTTAATTATTTAATTCCTAGAACATGTATTTGCATATTAATCTACTTGTTTTCCTAATATTTTATATTTTTTAAAGTATCACAGTGCTATAGGGAAGTCCACCCTCAGCACACCACTTACCCAAATTCAGAGGTCTATGTTTACACACTTCATTAATAACTGCTTGAAGATTGGTAGCTATCTGGTCACTTGACATATCCAACTGAAAGAAAAATATGTGTATAACATTAATGGTATGAATGTGAGAAGATGACACCATTTGAGTAACTGTATTAGTATTTATTCTGGATTAGTATGATTAGTATTTATTTCAAGTATTCACCTAATGCAATTATCCTCCCCCTCCCCCACAGTGATGCTGGGGATGCACCTCAGGAACACTCTATTACTGAGCTACATCCCCAGTCCTTTTTATTTTTTTATTTTGAGATAGGGTCTCACTTAATTGCTGAGGCTGGCCTCATATTTGCAATCCTGTTGCCCCAGCCTCCCAAGTCACTGGAATTACAGGGTGCATGGTGCCCAGCTGCAATTAACTATTAAGAAACCCTATTTTGAAAGCAAAAACTTCCATACTTCTTTTGAAAAGCTACATTTTATATGTTATATATAAAGATTTAATTTCCTTATAGAATGTATTATAGCAAAGTGTTTTAAAATTTTTCAATTTGAGGTTCCTTGATTTTCAAGTAATTTCTACAAAGCATATCTTGGATACATATACCATTCCCCATACACACCTCAAGGAATTAGTGTTATTTTCTTAAGGTCATTTGCTGATTTATTTACAAAAAAAATGTTTAGAAATTAATGCATTCATGAGTTCAAAATATAGCTACTTTACTACATGCATTAAGGAAATACATATAGAGATATTTTTAGGATGCTGAGCTAACATTCTAATTTTTAAAACACTCTAACCAGGCAATACCAATTATCTTGCCATTTAGCAAAACTACAATAATATATAATAAGTCCTATTCATAAAACTCCTAAACCCAACTTATATCCTTGAAAAGCCCATGCTTCAACAGAATTTTATTCAGCCATAAAGAAAAATGAAATTTATGCCATTTGCAGGAAAATGGATGGAACTAGAGGCCATTATGCTAAGTGAAATAAGTCAAACTCAGAAGGTCAGGTGATATGTTTTCTCTAGAAAGGAAAATCTCAAAAAGAAAAATCTCAAAAGGAGATTAATAAAGGAAAGGGACCAAGGGGTAGGAGGCAAGAGGGAAGGGGGAAGTGGTAGGAAGTATTACTGGGCAAATTATATTATTATATTGTGTGCATGTATGAATATGTAATAACAAATCCTATCAATATGTACAACTATAATGCACCAATAAAAATGTGGAAAAAAGACCACGTTTATTAATCAAATTCAATGAATGTTATTTGTTTTAAATATACCAGTTAAACTCAATTATAGTACATTCAAATGTTAAGAGGATTTGGGTTGTGTGAAATGAATTATTTTCTAATATTTTATCAAAAACTTATAATAGCATAACAGACAAAAATCATACAGTGAAATAGTTAAAGTTTAAACAAGATTTCTATTTTCCCATGATTGTGAAACCATTATGAGAAACGTGCCATGTAAATATAAGGAGAACCCCTCCTGGAAAAAATTATTCTCTTATCATCATTAAACAACATTTATTCAACACACACTTGGAATGACACAGTACCAAACCCTAAATGAAAGTTTAAACATTACTGAAGGAATTCTCACTTCATACTAATCCATAAGTGAGAGTTCTGAGAGGAAAAAATTCAAATCACTAGTTAGTTTATCCTGTAAGTCCACAGACCTTGCAGTCTTTAAATATAATGAAGCAATCATTCACTAGCAGAGAAGACATCTTCCACACTCTACATGAAAGAAAAGAAAGAGCTAAAGGAGTCCTCACCTCCTTTCAGTGTTCTTGATTCTCCACTATACCTCAAAGTGTCATTCTTCCTATTACCAACTAAAGAGACCATCATAGCTTAATAAGTTCCTTTATTTTTTGTTAAGACCTTAGCACCTACCTTAAATTTGGAAATAGACAGAAAAAGCAATTATGTCCAACATATCTTTTTTAACAGCTATGGTCTATACTGTTATACTATATATACTAAACTTCTCAAATTTTTTAAGTATACCTTTTACAGTCTTATATTGCCATTCCCATAGAAAGCCAAAATAACACATGCTATAGAAATACAAAACTATTAATTCTCCTGCAACTTTCATTATTAAGATTCCCTCAGTGACTTTAAGGGTTTTGGGGGGTTCTGGGGGACTGTACTGGGGACTGAACTCAGGCCTCCATAAGCTTTGATTCTGAACTATACCACTGGACCCTTATTTTAAGTTTCAAAAAATATAAAAATGTTTTAAAATATAGTTTACACTTTTCTCCAAATTTTATTAGCACCTCTGATCTTTAGTACTGTGCCCTCTACTGAATTTTAAAATATATTTATAAAGATAATACTTCACTTCATTTTTGTTTTAAATATTGTGCAAAATTATGGAAAAGTTACATATTTTATTGGTATTACTATTGATTATTTACTTAGCTACTGATGGAAATCAGTAATGATAACTTACGTACAAAAATAATATATATCCCTATATCGGTTTCATCAAAATTTACATGGGAGGGGCTGGGGCTAGGGCTCAGTGGCAGAGCACTTGCCTAGCATGTGCAAGACACTGGGTTCATTCCTTAGCACCATATACAAATAAAATAAAGGCATTCTGTCCATCTACAACTACAAAAATTTTTTTTTAATTTACATGGGAAATTTACTTGAACTGACTATAACTCAGGAAAACGACATCTGCAAAATTCTCAGCAATGATAAGCACTAAGCAACTCAATGAGATCCTGTCTCTAAATACAAAATAGGGTTGGGGATGTGACTCAGTGGTCAAGTGCACCTAAGCTCAATCCCCAGTACCCACTCCCCACCCCCATAAATAGTCGTAATACTATTTATGTTTAGCTAAAATGATCATCCACTGCAGGGCATAATCGTTATTTCTCATTCTGTAGCACAAATTTTTCAAAAGACTGTTTTTTTAGTGAATCCTACATTCTGCTTAACATTCCTTAGAAAAGATTTTTTTTACCAAAAATGCAAGGGTTGAGATTCTGGATATAAGTGAACTCTGCCTCTATCTCATTGCTTTTAAACTCATTCTTCTCTTTCCATGCAATTCATAACCTTTACTTTCAAAAAATTTCTTATCATTCTAACTAAAAAATTGGTCATTCTTTGTCCCTTTGATATGCATATGTTATATTTCATCTCAGGGCAAAATTTAGTCATGAACATGTCCAAAGCAGTAATTTTAAAACTCTTTTAGGTCATCAAACCTTGCTCCAGAAGAATGCACATAAAAAATTTAGCCTATGCTTTTGATCTTTATGAATTCTCTGATTTAAAAGAAAAGTAGAGAGAAAAAGACTTACTAGGAAAGTGTCTTAGTTAAAAGGGATCCCTGGGTCAGACTTTGAGAACCACCAATAAAGAGGTAAGTTTGTTCAACTATTTTGGAAGACTATAAACTACAGTGTAAAAAATAAAAATGATATTTAAATTCTACATAGGATAGAACTTTAAAAAAAATATATAAATGATTTTAAACAATACATGTTCCTTCTAAAAAGAACAGTTTCTGTCACTATAATATCCTGATAGTCTTTAGATGACTGATCACCTCTAACTGGAAAATGAAGAGACTACTGCTTTCGATAAGTACCTGTTTAACTACCTGACCTCCAAAATCCCTTCCAAATGCAATATTCTAAGTTATATTAAGTGTGGCCTAGCAGATGGTTTCTGCAGAAAGGCCAATACTCAACCTCTGTGACTTCCAACAATCTAAATCAAGAAAGAGAAGAAAATCCATGTTTCCTACAGAACATTAAGTAGTAATAATAATAATTGAGTATTGATAAATAATCATTATAATTACATATGAAATAATTATAATTGATTATACAACTCTACTTATTGGGGTACTTACTCTGGGTCAAACTCTGTTCTACAGAAACTGCTTAGCTACAATTTCATATCTACATAGATATTCTTTCATTTCTTCCAAGAACTCTATGATGTAGCTATTATCATATAGCACTTAAATGTTTCATCTTATCTAAAAGCACATGTATGGTAAGAAGTTGGCCTATCAGCTATGTTCGTGAACTCTTCAGGCAAGCAAACATTGATAAATTTCATTTCCATCACTTGCTAGCTTGTAACCCTGAACACAACTACAATGTATTCTGATCCTTACAAAAAATGACTATTTGACTGTCTGAAAAACACAAATGAGTTTGTTGGAAGCTAAGGGGAGGAAAAGAAACTATATTAGACACTGGAAGGAGAAGAACATTCAGATGAAAACTATGATTTTTCTTTCTGCCTAATGAATCCTTTACCACTTTCCTAATTTTTAGATGTTAACATCACATAATTCAGCATATTTATTTAGTTACCACTCTTTGTCAAGCAACAATGCTGTAAAATAGATACGAAAGAAGGGAAGATTCAAACCCTACCCTCAGGAGCTTACTATCTAGTCACTAAAATATAACACAACAGGTGCTATTCCAAATGAATAAACACTTACAGGGACACAGAAGAAGAAGTAATTGGCTTTGACCAGGAGGGCTTCACAAAGAATATTTAAGCTGAATTCTAAAAGAGGAAGAATATTGAAGAACAAAGAAAAATTTCTAAGCAGAAAAACCAGTATAAGGTGACATGAGGTAACCATGAGGTAACTCATTGTATTTAGGGACAGCATTATTGAAGACTTCTGGACTTAAGTGCACGCACAAATGCCACTTACATAATACAGGTCATGCAGAATTGGAGAGCAACCACCCTATGTGAGAGAAGCAGTAGCTACTCAGGGCTAATAGACAATTGTGATGAAAGCTATGGGGCTGGTGTCATTATGGCTCCTGATTTTTCAAAAAACAGGTCAAAATTTGGATTTCTATGTGATGTTCAGTTTTTAAATATTCAAGTTTCAATAAAACAAAACAAAATCACTATGTGGGTCCAACAAAATAAGTCTGGGGGGCCAAATACAGCCTGCAAGCTATCAATATGTAACTCTGGTCTTCAGGTTGCACCACTGAAAATAGCAGAAAATACTAAATTTGAACCTGAGAAAGTGACTTAAGACTAGAT